AGGTCATCTTGATACAGAAACAGTTTTCTGATATATTAGCTAACCCTCCCAGCTTGGTGTCATCTTCCACACCCTCAAAAAGTCATTTATAAAGATCTTGAACAGCATGAGGTCCAGGAGAGAACCCTTTGGCACCCTACTAGTCATTTCTCTCCAGAACGACTAAGCACCATTGGTTACAGACTGTCAACTATCCAACACCTGCACCATCCAGCCATAAAGCCCACCTAACAGCAGCAGCCTCTAGTCCACATTTTGGCTAAAAAATATATAATGAGGGACTTCGAATAAAATCAAGTTACCCTACCTTGCTGAAATAAAGTCACCTTGCATCTATGGGATTTCCATAATCTATCAAATTTACAACCCTATCCAGGGTGTGTGTGTGTATATATATAAATCTGGTATATCATCTTTCCTTTCCCTTCCTTTCCTCATAGAGACCATGCTGGCTTTTAGTGATCCCTGTGTTCTTTTCTAAATGCTCACAGACCAACTGTTTAATGTTCTGCTCTAGAACCTGCACCAGTCAGTATTTGCCCAGAGCCTCTTATCCCCCCTTTCAAAGCTGCCATACCTTCTCTTCTAGCTGGGCAATTAGCTTGTACTTGGCTACAGATGTAGGTTTCTATATCCTCGAGCATGAAAACAAGTGTGCCACAGGTATTACAGTCCACTGCAAAGCTCCTTTGAGGTCTGCCTCTCTTGCTCTGTGCAGGTACTGAAGAAACAACTCACCTTGCCTTCCCTTCAAATTCCCCCACTCGATGCCCATGAAGATGCCCTGTTTACTCACCCTGCTCACAAGCTCCTGCTCACAAGCTTGCAGGGAGCCCGCAGGTGCAGAGTCAGAGCTGGCAGCTGCTAGCTCCTTCCCCAGCCCAGAGAGGTCTCCTCACAACACTCACTTCCACTTAACAGTAGCCGCTCCCCTGAGTGCCATGTTCCCGAAGCACAGCACCTGGCTTCAATAAAAGGCCCACCAACAAACAACAGCTCAGACAAACAATCACTCCAAGGAAACAAACGCAGCCTTACCCTTTCTCGATCAAATCTGACCAAAATCCCCGTTTGATTACACTCTTCACAAGCTTGCACTGAATCTTGAGTGGTCCTGTAGATCTAACTAACAGCTGCCAGTTAAGGCCAAATTAGGGACATTTGTTTGTTTAATAAACTTATCCTTGGCAATTTAATTGTAAACCAGAGGAGGGAGCATAATTTCCATATCAAACTCGATTCATGGGAATGTTTAGCAACACCCTCTTCGCTTCCACTTACTCTTCCCTGCGGTGCTTTCAGTTGTTTTCTTCTAACCTGACTCATTCAATCTGGAGTCACACCAGGGGGTGGGAGGATAGCTAAACATCCCGGGACAGAGGAGTAAAGTAAAGCTGGAGAGTGTTAGGGCTGACTCTACTGCATGCACATTCAACTTCATACTAAAAGTTAGACCCCACCACCACTTTCTAGTTAAACAGGCTTAACGCATATTTATTAAAAGACACATAACTAGTTAGCATTCAGAAACAGCAAAACGAAACAGGTAGTAAGGAAAAATTCCAGTGGTCTCTTCCTAAATATTTCTGTTACGTAAAACTGAAGTCCCATTTCAGTATCTGCTCACTTAAAGTTGGAGGGGATCTTTGATTCAAGTAAACTTGGAGAGATCAAGCAAGTCATTTTAGACCATAGTAAAAAAAATTATCTGCCTAAGTTGGAGCCATTTAAAAAAGTACAGCAAGAGCCTTAAATTACCACCATGGTATCACAAAGCTCACAGACCTGTTTTCAGTGCCATTGCTCAGCCTCTACAACTAACAAAGTGTGAAAAGGCTCTGAGGCCTTATCACCCAAAATATTCTTAAAGATACACTAATACCTTATATTTGAATTTGAATGTTGAATTGTGGTGCTGGAGGAGGCTCTTGAGAGTCCCCTGGACTGCAAGGAGAACAAACCTATCCATTCTAAAGGAAATCAACCCTGAGTGCTCCTTGGAAGGACAGATCCTGAAGCTGAGGCTCCAGGATTAGGATTGGCTGTAATTCCATATCAAGTGTATGTTTGGTAGTAAACTTTGACTTGTGTAATACATGAAATTATGTCTTGCAGGGTCTCTTTCACCAATGAAAAAATGTCAAAAATGTAATGTTCAGGCTCAAAAACACACATGTGACTCCCTTTACATACAGTATTCCCCACAATTTATTCAGTTTCCCTATTGCAACAGCAGATCCTCAGAGACTGGTATCTCTCCAGTATATAAGATATTATAAATGGAAGGCTTTAATTAAAAATACACATATCTGCTTTCTACAGATATTGTCATCAGAAATTAGGATTGGCTGTAATTCCATATCAAGTGAATGTTTGGTAGTAAACTTTGACTTGTGTAATACATGAAATTATGTCTTGCAGGGTCTCTTTCACCAATGAAAAAATGTCAAAAATGTAATGTT